TCTGCAGGGGGCCCAACTTGGGGATTGGATCCAAGAGTTCTAAGTGGTAACCCCCACAGCTGAGATATCTTTTTAAAAATATATATTTTATTGATTTTGTACAGAGAGGTAGGGAAAGAGATAAGAGAGTTAGAAACATGGATGAGAGAGAGTCATCGATCAGCTGCCTCTTGCACATTATATTATTGATTTTTTACTGAGAGGAGGGGAGAGAGATAGAGAGCTAGAAACATCGATGAGAGAGAATCATCGATCAGCTGCCTCCTCCTGGGGATGTGCCCGCAACCAACGTACATGCCCTTGTCCGGAATGGAACCTGGGACCTTTCAGTCCGCAGACCGACGCTCTAGCCACTGAGCCAAACTGGTTTTGGCACCGCCTCCATTTTTAATCTCTCTCTGGGAGAGTTTATTTTTAAATTGTAAAATAAAATTTTAGATTTAAGAATCCTGGTGGAATGGGACAGGGCTGACACAAAGCTGGAAATCCGTTATGACAGACTTGTATGATAATGTGATTACTAAATCCTAGAATCACTGATTCACCCCTGGCTACGAATTTTGTAAACAAATATGCTGTGCACATGTGCACGTGCGCGCGCGCGCACGCACACACACACACACACACACAATCTGGCTAGCCTACCATATACTGGTATCTTTTAACTATAAACACAAATTTGCCTGCATATATTAAGAATAACCATATAAGATGCAAAATAACTAGAAACAAGAGTGTCCTCCAAAAAGGGCAACTGAGTGGCTAGGAGATAGGTATGTAAGGAAAACCTTTTGTTATTTACCTGGGATTATGAAATATTTTTCTTCTTGGCTCCTTATAATTTTAGTTATTTTACTTTTATTTATCTTGCATAAATAATTTTTGCACATATGTGCTTTGTTTTTTATTTATTTACCACAAGTAAAGGTCAGGAATTGTTACCTTTAAAATTTTTTTTTACTGTTTCATTTCAGTACTGCTGTGTATGTGCTCCATGTGAGGGATGTAGGTACTTATATAGGTAAGTTCCGACTTTGGAGAAAATAAAAAATCACATTATGTCGCTCCATAGGAACAGATCTGTTGATGTAAACGGAGAACCTACTGTATTTCCTATGCTTAGAACATAGGAATTATCAGCTACCTGCAAGTTATAAATGACTCATTGACACACTCATTGTCTTCAGGTATACACTGAGTGGCCAGATTATTATGACCTCTGAACACATAATAATCTGGCCACTTGGTGTGTGTGTGTATTAGAGGCCTGGTGCATGAATTCGTGAATGGGTGGGGTCCAGCCAGTCTGGCCAGGTGGAGGGGACATGGGTGATTGGCCAGTCTGCCTGCTGGTTGAACTCCTGGTCCAGGGGACAATTTGCATATTAGCCTTTTATTATATAGGATTTACACTGAGTGGCCAGATTATTATGCGTTCAGAGATCATAATAATCTGGCCACTTAGTGTAGTGAGCATTTGTGGAATCCTTTCTTAGTCTCTTCCCAATTATGGGTCTATTCAAAATTTCTTACCTCTAGAAGCTAGATTTTAAAGACAGCTATGATCAATCACACCCTTATCAAATAACTAAGAACTGCTTTTGTCCATGTCCCCATATTTCCAGATTTTGGCCCATATACCCCAAGTACCTATAAGTATCTCCTCCTTTTGGATTCAGCCTTCCTCGTTTCTCTAGACCAATTCTGATATTTAGTAGGCAGTAAAATTATAAAAGGCACCTTTGTCTGCCTCAGAATACAGAAATCTTTATTAGCTGGTGACCTGTTATCAGACTTACTGCCAGGCAATAAAGCACTTTCTGGGAGCATGAAATGTAAAGTACAAGTTAAGGCTTCTAGCCTTGTTCTGCTGTTTTTCTTAGTCGTGCGAACTTGGCTTATTATTCTTCCGTCAGTTTGTTCCTTCCTCGGTACAACGTAGACACCAGAGAGCTGTCATTAGAACCTGAACTGTTACTGTGACTTTTTTTTTTTTTTTTAGGATTCTCTTTTTGCTTGAAATATATTAGGACTTAAAAATGATTTTGCATCTTGACTCCCACAAAGGAGGTGTGAAAAGAAACCATTAAAAGACAAGTGGGCTGCAACGGGTTCTAGTCTCAGCTCTATCACTACACAGCTTTGTATTCTTGGAAACACTTCTCTGTTCAAGTGTAAAAAATTATGGCGTCTTGATTACAATAATGGTTTTCAGAATGTGGTCATACAGAAACCCCGGTGTTATATCACCCCTAAAATTGAACATTTTTTCATCCATTTTAGGCAATCACTTAATGGGCCTAATATCTTCAACTACATGTATTTTCTCCTGTATATTCTTCAAATATTGAGTCTACTGCTGTTTTTTTTTAAAAAAACTGAAAATATCTACTTGTTCTGCTTGGTGTATCAGATATTCTTTTTGAAAACAGTGCTCGCTCACACACTCATTTGTGGCCGACATACCACCTCTGGTTTGCAGGATGGCACTAAGTACATCATGAACAGTCTGCGGCATCTCAGAGGGGAGGCAGATGGGAAGGGGTTATGATAATGTAACCCCTCTAATGTATAAAATAATTATTGTGTGGAATATTTGCTGTATGGAACCCCCCAATACTCTGTGTAACTTCCAAAATTAACACCCAAGTATCTCGATGTAAAAGCTCTGCTCCCAGCATAAGGCACACCGTCTGGCCCACACTGATGAGGACACTTGTTTACCAAGGTCCATATAACCCGGGACCAGCTGCAGTTGAGGTCTCCTGCCCGATAAGAGGAGAACTCCACGTAGGTCCGAGAGACAAGCCCCTGACTGCTCTGCTGTGTGAGCCTGAACCACCTGCGGCCTCCTGTCTGTCTCTGTCTTTGTCGCCTGTCCTTCAGTGTGCATCGCCGGTAGCCTTTGCGGGAGCCCAGGACCCACTAGGAGTCGGTAAATATCCCTGTGCGATTGCATACTAATTCTGTCTGTGTGTCCTGTGTTCCGGCTCGGCTCAGCTGCCTACATTGAAGCACCAGGCCGTGATTGCTGACTCCTGTCACCTGCGTTGGTCCCACTGAGTCTACCAGGCGTCTTCAAACTGCGGCCCGCAGAGGAGTCTGATCCGGCCCGCCAGGTTTTTTGGGCAGTGAGCACAGCCGAGGTGTTACAGTGGGAATTAGTAGTTCATATAGTCCGGCCCTCCAGCTCTCTGAGGGACCGTGATCTGGCCCCCACTTTAAAAAGTTTGAGGACGCCTGGTTGGGCATAATTGGGACAATATTGGTTAACCAAAGAACCTGTGTGCGTACAGGCAAAGCCCACGGGCTCCGAAAAAGGGAGGTGAAGGCGGGGCGGGCTGGGAGTCCCGGCGGGGAGAAGGGGCGTGGCGATGCTGCCAACAATACAGGTGAAAAGAAGCCTAGCGCCGTGTGTTTCTGTCCGGACACCCACACTCTCGGGGGCCTTGGGACATGCCCAGCTGAGGAGTCCCAGAGGCCTGGGGAGGGACCGGCGGCCAAGCTCGGCTTCCGCTTCGCGGCGGGAAAGCCCAGTCTCCAGCCGCCCGGCCTGGGAACCGGAGGCCCCACCCGAGCACTCACTGCCTCCTTCTCGAACATGCTGGCCCGCCTCTCCCTCCGATGCCCCGTCGGGGACTGCTGAGCCGCCGGGGTCCCGGGCACCTTCATACCGCGGCCGCGCTTCTCCATCGTGCCCGCCTCAGCGACCCGCCCGGCACCACGTCTCTGTCCGGTGGAGACCAACGTCGCCGCCGCCACTTCCCGCGAGAGCTCATCTCGCGCCTGCGCCGCGGAGGCCGGAAGTGCTTCCGGAAGAGCGGCGCGGAGGGAGGGCGGGACGAGCTGCGTCATCGCGCGGCGCGGGCTGCCGGATCCGGAAGTCATGGAGGTAGAGTGGTCGCGGCAGGTGGGAATGCTGGAAGACTAAGCCATAAAACACTGTGCTTTTGTAAACTGACACTGAACTAGTACTATGAGTAATGAAATTTCAATCTTTGAATGTTTGTATTTGAAAATCGTTACGTAAATTATCTTTAAATTTAATCACGATGTTTTAACATACAGCTCTCCCACTAGTTAGACCTGTGTATATTCTGTTCTTAAGATAGAACCAGGGGCCTGATGCACAAAACTCGTTCACTCTGGGTGCTCCCTCAGCGCGGCCTTCACCCTCTTCGATTCTGGGGAGCGGGCCTAAGCCGGCAGTCAATACCCTTAGCGCTGCTGCAGGGATTCGGGCTGAGTCTGCTCCCCCCCCCCCCCCCCCCCCCCCCCCCCGTGGGAGGGCACTGACCACCAAGGGACAGCTCCTATGTTGAGCGTCTGCCCCCTGGTGGTCAGTGACAGATATAGCAACCAGTTGATCTGCCCTTCAGTCAATTTGAACATTAGCCTTTTATTAAATAGGAGGATATTCTTGGTTAAGTGCATAGTTAGTACTTGTGTGTCTTTATTTCCTGTAAGACAGTATCTTTTATGTTCTACGTTTCAGATATCCCTGGAAGACCCTGTTACCACATGCCTTTCTGCCCCGGTGTACCATCTGATCTGTGAACTTGGGTGTGAAGTCCAAGAACATCGTGCTATCAGTAGCATTGTGGCTGGGAACGGGGATGTGTGCTGGAAGACAATCACAGATTGTGTGGTTGGTGCCCAGTCAGGTCTGCATTTTCTCTACACCCCAAACATCCATGGATGATTTTTCTTTTCTTTTTAAATATATTGATTTTTTACAGAGAGGAAGGGAGAGAGATAGAGAGTTAGAAACATCAATTAGAGAGAGTCACTGATTAGCTACCTCTTGCACACCCCCTACTGGGGATGTGCCCGCAACCAAAGTACGTGCCCTTGACTGGAATCGAACCTAGGACCTTTCAGTCCGCAGGCCAACACTCTATCCACTGAACCAAACCGGTTTTGGCTCATGGATGCTTTTCATTTAAAATGTCTTGGCCTCTAGTAGTATTCCTCTTGCCTCCCATTGCTTTTTTTGTTTGTTTGTTCAGAGGGTGTTATCATAATGACCTCACTCAAAAGATAAAAGGAATTGCTGTGAAAAGAGGGAATGAGGCCAAAGAAGCAGAGAGGAGTTCAGGGAAAGCTGGGCTAAGAAACCCATGTGTGAGAAGGGAGGTTGGGAGGCAGTCAGGGTGATGGTCTCGGCTCCAGGCCAGCAGTCCAGATGGAAGAGGGTAGAACATACAAGTCATAAATTAGGTATGAAAGGACCAGTAACATGTTACACAATTATTTTAGATGTCTTCCATCTGTTTTTGCACTTTTTTTTTTTTTAGCCAGGAGTTGGCCTGGAAATTTAACAATAGTTATAAAAATGACAAATAAATGTGCTCTGGCCCAGCAGTTCCATTCCGGGAATTTATAGGACTGGCACTCTTACAGATAGCCAACTGTGTGTCAGCAAGGGTTCTCCTGCAATGTCCTTTGTAATAGCCAAGAAGAAAAAAAACATTGGAAACATCCAGATGTCAGGCAGTAGGGATCGCTTAAGAAAATCATGAACATTTCCCAGAGGAACACTATTCAGCGGGAAAAAGAATGAGGAGGCCTGGCTTTCTGAACACCGGAATCTTGGAGCTGTGTTACTAAGTGAAAGAGTGAGGATCATATATTTGCATTTGCTTTAATATGTGTAAATATTTCTAAATATATACAAAGAATTAATAACAGCAGCTGCTCTAGGAAGAAGAATTCAGAGGCCAGGAGGGAGACTTACCCTCTTATATATATATTTTTTATCATGAACCATGGTAATGTTCAGACCCAAACTTATAAAATATTTCATATTATAAATACGTTCTAAAATAATTAAGATCATTGGAGATCGCACAGTCTACTATTAAGTAAAAAGAAATCAGTCCCTACCTGGCTTGGCTCAGTGGATAGATTGTCAGCCTGTGGACTGAAGGATCCCAGGTTCAATTCCAGCCGAAGGCATGTGCCTGGGTTGCAGGCTTGATCACCAGTGGGGGAAGTGCAGGAGGCAGCAATCAATAATTCTTTCTCATCATTGATGTTTCTATCTCTCTCCTCCCTTCCTATCTGAAATCAGTAAATATTTTTTTTTTAAACAAGTAATCCGGTTAAAGTATTATATATACTGTCTGAACCTGATTTTCTATAAACTTATATTCAGGTAAAGAAATTGAAGAAAATATTTTTCTCTTGTTTGAATCTTTCTGCATTTTCCAAGTCCTCTACCAATAGCATATTTTTATTTTATAACCAGATAAGTACCATATAACTTATTTCAGTGTAGGTGTATATCTTTTGTAAGTTCAATTATAAACTGGATACGGGCTTGGTGGGAATTTTGTAATTAGAGCACTTTTCCTCTGATGACTTGGAGATCTTTCTCTCCCCATGATATGGCGCTGAGGTGCTAACTTGCTTTTCATTCTTGAAGCCCAGGGTCTGGATTATGAGGGAAGCGTGAGGCTGCTGGGCCCTGTGTGTGAGGCTGTCCACATGCATTTCTCATCTCTGACCAAAGGGCAGTTTGAAGTCCAGTATGCACCGTGGTTCCAGTGGACAAGTTCTCCAGAGGTTCGGCCTTTGCAAATTCCACTTAGAAACCCTATTACTTGCTAATTTTAAAGGGGTCTTTCTGGAGGGCCCAGAGGGAATCCTGGGACTGTTATGGAGAGTCTTGGGTCTGAGCTGAGAAGCACACCCTTTGACCAAGGGGAGTATCGAGGTGCAGCATCTGGGTAGGGGTGGGAGGGAGTTTGGTATGTGGGTGCTGGTCCTGGATAGAGGCAAAGGGGCCTCTGCAGAAGAGAGATAGCCGGCTGGCAGAGCAAGGTCATCTGATGCAGCGGCCCCGGGCCTGGCTGGGCTCGGTCCTGCTGAATTGGAGGTAGAGGGTCCTTGGAGGCCCAAACCTGGCTTAACTGCTTTGTTGGTTGGTGAAAACCAGCTGTGTCACGGGGTGCATTAAATGACAGTGGAGCAAGGCTGCTTCTGAACCCGTGGAGTTTCCTATGTCAGTGTGAAAGGGTCACTTCTGCTCCCTTCGCAGTAGCTCTCACAAGCGGCAGGGGGAGCTGCCGTGTGTTTATCTTCAGAACTAATCCAAATGGGAAATAACATTGAGGTAAAAATATTTGACTGCACAATTCTGGCAGGGGAGATACCATGATCACGAAGCCGGTTTTTCCAGGGTGAGGCTTATTCATTGCACTCTGGATGTGCTGACTCCTGCAGTTTCCCCAAATGTGGGAAACTTATAAATTGTGGTAGTGGGGGACTGCATTCACACTCTCCCCTGTAAAAAAAAAAAAAAAAAAAAATTTGACTGCTCGATGTGCAGTTACACCACACTTCTCGTTTTCAATCAATATTAAACAAAGAACACTTAAAGAACTCCTTAGATATTACTTTTTTACTGTTTACACTGCGTGGCCAGATTATTATGACCTCTGAATGGATAATAGTTTGGCCACTCAGTGTCTATCCTATATATCTTAATAATAAAAGGCTAATATGCAAATTGTTTCCTCCACCAGGAGTTCAACCAGCAGGCAGGTCGGCCAACTGCCCATGTCCCCTCCCCCTGCGTAGGCTGGCCAGACACCAGCCATGCACGAATTCATGCACCGGGCTTCACACACACACACACACACACACACACACACACACACACTGAGTGGCCAGATCGTTATGTGTTCAGAGATCATAATAATCTGGCCACTCAATGTAGATGTTATATTTGTAGAAAATTTTTACCTATACCCCCAAAATCATTAAAATATAATCATCAAAATCTTCAGAGGGTTGACTCTGACGAACAGCACTGTTACTTTGAGAAGCAGTTCTTACTGAGTGGAAATTCTAAAGCATGTCTATTCGAAACAGCTGTTTCCAGAAATATTTGATGCCCTGGAGAGCCGTGAGCCCCCTGCGGTTGCTCTTAGCCTCATGAAGCTGACGGCGTGTCTGGAGCGGGCCCTGGGCGATGTGAGTGTGAGAGCTGTCCTCGTCGGGCCCCTAAAGTACCGAGTGAACATTAAACTGCTCTGTAGTTGCCCTCAGATTCCTTGATTTTAATTATCATTCTCCTATGAAGTGCAGTTATTCGGTACAGATTTTTAGTGTTTTTTTTATGATTGTGAAATTAAAACATGGGTGACTTCAGTCATTGTCTCCCACCCTTTATCCAAGCAGTTGCCTTATGGGTGATTTTTTTCTGAATATCATTCGGCTCCTTGGAATGCAGGTGCTACATGAATTTTGTTTGAATTTTAGGTGTTTTTGCTGGTTGGGAAGGAATGCCCGTTTCTTTTAAGAGATCTGCTTGCCTCTGCGGAGCTTGCTCAGGTCTTCGGGCAGCCTGTGGTAAGTTTGCCCCCACAGCCACAGAGGAGGCGCCCGCTGCCCTGGCGCACCTCGGAAATAGGTGCTGATGGGAGTGTTGTCACATCACAGGTGGAGGGGACTCAGAGCTTCCCGAGGGGAGCAGCCACCGCCTCGGCTCCCCTCCGAGCCGCCCGTCCTGCTCACACACAGGCCCACGCAGTACTCTGTGGCGCTTCTGTGCCAAGCTGCCTCCTGTGTCTGTTTGTCTGGACATTGGGCCGTTTGATGCCCGGCACCGCCTGGGGCAGGTCCCACCTCTCGCCGCCCAGGGTTCCCTCTGCACTTCCTCTCGCCTGCACAGCGGGCCTCATGGCAGCGCCTTCTTGGCTGGCGGGCCCGAGGATGGGCAAGGCGGGCGCACACAGGAGCTGCTCAGGAACTGATGGCTGTCATTACCTCCACACCGACGACGCGCACGAGAGGGGGAAGTGGCGGTTGGAAGGAAGAAAGCGTTCCTTGCTGCATCCAGTGATTTGTTAATGACCGCACTGCCCACCCTCCGCTGTCCCCCCGCCCAGATGGACGTCCTGACGGTCTTGGTGGGCTCTCCGCGCGGACTCAACCTGCGCAACGTCCTGTGGCACGGGTTCGCGGCCCCTCAGGAAGTTCCCCCCAGGTAGGTGCTGCACGAGGGCCTCCCCGTCGAGGGCACCGGGTTCACCTCTGCTGTGGGGCAGGGAGGCCCATCTCCGCAGGACGTGGAGTGGGAAGCGGGGTGTCCTAGCGGAGCCCTGCAGGGTCCTCAGGTTCCAGCTCCTGCGGGTCTGAGGTCCCAGCCAACGTGGCACCGCTTCACTTTGCTTTCTTTCTTTCTTTCTTTCTTTCTTTCTTTCTTTCTTTCTTTCTTTCTTTCTTTCTTCTTTCTTTCTTTCTTCTCTCTCTCTCTCTCTCTCTCTCTCTCTCTTTCTTTCTTTATTTTTAAATATATTTTATTGATTTTTCACAGAGAGGAAGGGAGAGGGATAGAGAGCTAGAAACGTTGATGAGAGAGAATCATCGACCAGCTGCCTCTTGCACACCCCCTACTGGGGATGTGCCCGCAACCAGGGTACATGCCCCTGACCGGAATGGAACCTGGGACCTTCCAGTCCGCAGACCGATGCTCTACCACTGAGCCAAACCGGTTTCGGCTCACTTTGCTTTCTTACGTGTGAACTTTTTCTCCTGAAAGGAGGGCCTTTTATGTGCACGGCTGAGGTCTCCGGCATCCCCCGCAGGTACTGCTCGATGCTGGTGCTGCTGACCGCGGGGCTGGGCCAGCGGCTGGAGGCCCACCTGCGGCAGACGGAGCGCACGGTGGCCCGTCGGCCGCTCCTCAGGCTCGTGGACTCGGAGGACTGGACCATCTTCCCTGGCAAGTACCCCATCTCCTCGGTGGCCCTGGGAGGCTGTCATCCAGGAGCACAGGCGTGAGCTCCATCCGGGGCGCGTTCTCCAGGGTGACGTGGGAGACAGTGCATGAAGCGTGTGTGCAGCATAGCCACCCAGACCCGACCTTTCCCGCCGCCCGGCTCTGCGGGGAGACCGTGGTTCGGGCTGGTGGCGGGTTCAGTCTGTCCTTCAGAGGGACTGGCGTGCCTGGTGTCAGGCCATTTGGAAGGCGCCTCTGCTGCCCTCGCGGGGCCCGAGCCCTCGCTGCGGAATGGTCCTCACCTGGTGGATCCTCCCCGTGACCGAGCCCCGTCCCCACGGCGGGAGGAGGGACCAGAGCTTTGAAAGCTATTCACCTGCTCCGAGCCCACTGCCCCGCACCGGTCGTTGCAGTTCAAGCTCTGTGTCTGCCAGTGAGAGTGTGGCTCACGATGGCCCACATCTCGGCCTTCCGTGCACGGACCCTGGCGGTCATCTGGTGACAGCCAATAACACACACAAACGGTGAGGCACATTTTAGAGCGGTTTTAAGGTTTAAGAAAACCGAGAGGGCGGTCCAGAGATTCCCCATTCCCCCCGCCGCCTGCCCACAGCCTCCCCCATGTCAGCACCCCGAGACGGACATTTGTCGCCGAGGATGAACCCCCTGTACGCGTGGTAAGCACCGAGTGTGTCGCTCACCCAGCACTCACCTGAGGTTCCCGTGTCCTGTGGGGGTTCCATTTCCGCCGCCTCCAAAGCCCGGCCCGCGCAGGGCCAGGCAGTCTTCCTCACTTCCTCCCTGGGCTGGGCCACAGCTCGCCTGTGTGAGGAGAGACGCCGGCTTCGGGCCCAGGGCGTCCCGGCTTCTCTGTCAGTGCCTGCGGTTGTGTTAAGCCTCTTGCTGTCTTTTTTTTTTTTTTTTTAAATAATATATTTTATTTTTTTACAGAGAGGAAGGGAGAGGGATAGAGAGCTAGATACATCGGTGAGAGAGAAACATCGACCAGCTGCCCCCTGTACACCCCCCACCGGGGATGTGCCCACAGCAAATGCACATGCCCTTGGCTGGAATCGAACCTGGAACCTTTCAGTCCACAGATGGATGCTCTATCCGCTGAGCCAAACCGGTTTTGGCCTCTTGCTGTCTTGCAGCTGCTACTGACGAGGTCCTTTCGGTGTGGGAGGAAGTGGTGCGGAAATCCTCTCTCGTCCTGAGGATCATGCTGCCGTACTGGAAAGCCGCGCTGACCAGGTTCCGGGCACACAGGTGAGGGGCAGATGGCACAGAGGGTGGTTCCTGGGTCTGGGCGCCTGTCCTTCCCGGAGCCCCTGCTGCCGGGCCCTGCGCGGGCTCGGCCGGGGCGGGCGGCTGCCTGGAGGGGCCTTGTGGGAAACCCCTTCCTGACCAGGAGAACCGCCAGGGATCACGGGACAGCCTGCGAAGACGATAGTTTTTTAGAATCAACTTGAAAAGTCATTGAGTTTTCTCTGTGAGTGAAACCCTGTGTCCAGCGTTGGCGAACCGGGAAATAGGGAATTGGTGTCTCGGGCGCCGAGGAGCAAGCTGGTGCTCAGACCTCAGGGGTGGGCCGTTTCACCGGGACAGCCACGTGGAGACCATGAGAGCCCACTCATGTCCTGGGTCCGAGTACTTTCTGGAAAGGGAACGCAGCGGCTTTGGATGCCATTTTCTCCTGAGGCACTCACTGTGGCCTATCAGGCATCAGAGCCCTGAAGCAGCTGTGAAGCCCCGAGTCTCAGGAGGCAGGTTCTGCTTCCATCTCACTTGGACACAGTGGTCCCGCCTGGACACTCCCCTGTGCCGGCCTGTGCCCACCTCACAGCGGTGTGCTTTCTTTTCGTGTCACAGGTTCGCCGACTGTGCCGTGCTGCTGCTGACACAGCTGGAGACGGGGCTGCGACACCTGTTCGCCACGGTTAACCGGTGTCCCCGGAGACTTCTGACGGCCGAGGTACACGTGGGCGTGACGGGCTTCTGTGCCTCTTAAATGATCTTAGCATCTCATTCTGTCTGCAGCTCATGAACTTGTTAGCTAAGAGCTTCCCTCCGAGGACTTAGCTGTTCTTTCTATTATAATGTTTTATAGGACTTATGTTTACTCATGATTGATTTTGGTAGCTCTGTAATATTTTAAAAGTGCTCTTTTAAACTCGGTGATGTCACAGAACTAGTTACCACGCATTTCCTCTCTGTGGCTACACTTGCTATCACCGTAGCCCACAAGGTGGTCCGTAGCCTGCAGCACACGCCCTCTCTGAGGACCCCACTCCTCTTGGCCAGAACTCAGCCCACCCCGCAGTGGGAGGCTTGGGTGGCAATGTGCCCAGTTAACTATCGAAAGATCCACGGATAAGGAAAGGGGACCCTGAATTATAGGGTGAGCAGCAGCATCTGCCATGTCTCCTTTTCTCATTTCTTTCACTAGTTCATCTTCCTCTTTTTCCTCATGTCAACATTCCTCAAAATTCTCCTCTCAACCTTGTCCTCTCCTTACATTTGCTCCTTGGGAGGTCTCACACACCCCATGCCTAAAGCTGTCACCTCTGCAGGGACCACAACTAGAAAACACTTGGAACCTCGTGAAAATGGAAGCCCCACATATCACAGGCTGTCCATGCAGCTAAAGCAGCTGAGAGGGCAATTCGTAGCATTAAGTTCCAGGGTCTCAAGCATCGGCTCTCACCAGTTCTTTTATCTCCTGAGTCAGATGGACACCTCTTTGCAGCATCTCACACTTACTTTCATTTTAAAAAGCATATTTTTTCTCCTACAAATTCTTTATTCTTGGCTTCTCGGTGGCTCTGGCACCAAACCTTAGCCCTGCCCTGTCTTTGTCTGCACTTTGTTCTCCACAGCCTCTTGGTTCTTCCGTGATGCATTCTGTGCCCCTTCTTTCTTCCCTGAGGCCTCCCTGGTTCCTTGTCCCCCCTCCAGTCTTCACACTTCTCTTCCTTCCTGACCCATTCTCACTCTGCCACTCAATGCCTTCTAAACCAACACGTATTCCTGTGTCTTCCGTGGCCTCCAGTGTCCACAGCCATGTGGCGTCCCTGTGCCGCGCACACAGGTCCCAGGGCTTCCAGCTGGTTCCCCCTGCTGTTGTGCAGAGGAGCTGCGTGGCAGCAGTCGAAGGTGGGATCCGAGCTGAGGTCCCTGGCCCGCCGCCTGTGTCTGTAGACTGTACTGGTCACACAGAAGTGTGGGAGTCGGGCTGTTGTGGGGAGATGTCCCGTTGTTCTTGCCTCATGCCGTCAGCAGAAGCACCCATGTGGGCAGTGGTGTGTGACGCTGTGGGCCTGGAGGTGCCAGGATGTGGAGCTGGACAGGGAGCAGGGGCGGAGTTCCAGCGGCCGGGCGCCCTGGGGTCCCACGTCCGTCACGTGGGTGTCTGTCCACACATTCTTCCCAAGTGCTGCTGGGTGGAGGCTGACCTCAGATGAGGTGTGCGGTTGTTAGCGTGCGAGACGGCCTGCTTTGAACGGTTCACCTGCTCGTATTATGCTGTAATTATTTCCTTTCTTCCCTTTTCTGAAGTCGGCAGCTCTGTACACCACCTTTGATGAAGTAAGTGAACTCGAACTTACAAGTTGTCTTGAAATGAAAGACTGTATTCTTTTAAATCCAAAGCAAAAGATTAGCCTGATTCACAAGCTTACAGGAAATCGCTGTAAGTAGAAGCAGCCTTAGAGCTGAGCATCGGTTTCAGGATAGCCCAGTGGGCCCATGACTCACCAAGCCGCTAAAGCCGCAGAAATGAGGCTGGAAAGTGCAGGACCAGCATCAAGCGCTGCGGTTATTAGGGGCTCAAACATCAGTTACAGCTAGCGCAAGACACCTCAGCTACTGCCGTGAGCATGTGGTGGTCACCGAGACAGTGATCTGCGGGGTTGGGGGTCTGAAGGAGGAGGGTGGGAAGTGAAAGTCACAGGGAATGTTTTGTCCCTGGGAGAGTGTAACGGCTTCTGTGTGCCTCTCGGGTGGAACCCTTACAGACCCCAATGCCTGTGACACCACGGCAGCTCGGAGAGGACGGGAGAGCCCTGGGGGGGGGTTCCAGTCACTCTGCCTTTGGATAACCTAGCTCCGGGACCTGGAGGAGGGGTTAGGAAGGAGCCTGCTCACGGCAGATTTATCCCGTCAGTAAATGACTCACTGTTAGGGTTGTGTGTTTGGGGCTGTGGGGACTGAACTAGACAGCAGTCAGGTCCGTACAGGACTCGGGCCTCAGGATTGGCTCCTGCTTGGGCTCCATCATCCTGGTGAGCAGAGTGACTCGTGAAGCAACTGGTGGATGCGGAGCCCACAAGCACACGTGTACATATGGAGAGACACAGACACAAACATCTACAAGTAGACATAAATACTCATGGATACATACATAAAACATTCCCCCACACATACTTGTACACAAACATACACAGATACCCACATATATACAAGTATACACACATGCATTAGCCACACATAAACACACTATACATACACACACAGAGACACACCCTCACAGCTAAAAAGGTGTGTGTCCTGAGGCCATTACACGGGTGAAGAGAAGTTTTCCTGGCCTGGTGGTGGTTTCCTTGGAGACGCCTTCACTTCCCCTGATTGGCTTGGGCGTATTTAACAATTCGCAGCGAAGGCAGGAAGGCCTGTGTGAGCCTGACCTCTAGCTGACGTGCCTGAGGCCCAGCTGACATGCCTGAGCCTCAGCTGACGTGCCTGAGCCCCAGCTCACGTGCCTGTTTCGGTGTTTCAGATGCTGGCACAACACCTGAGTGACGGCGAGATCAATCAACTTCCTCTTGTCCTCGGGGAGCCTGCCATGGTAAGGCCTTGGCTGGTCTGCCGTTGTTGTGTTCCATGTGTGACCTGCGTGTTTCTGACGTGGCACTGACTGGCCTGTGCCGAGCGCAGAGAGTATGCTGAGCCTCCACCCGATCCCTCGTCTCCGCAGCCGCCTGTGAGCACTGGCTGCGCCGGGCCTGCCAGCTGCCAGTTGTCCGGTTCTGCCTCCCAGCCCGGAGTCAGCGGTTCCCGGCAGCTTGCTCCTTTGGCGTGTCCGGCGGGGCTTCCGCGCCCTCCTCCCTCCGCTGAGGATGCTAACGAGTGTGTTCTCTGTCTCCCCGAAAGGAGTTCCTCTGGGACTTCCTGAACCACCAGGAGGGCCCGCGCGTGCGGGATCACCTCAGCCACGGGGAAGTCAGCCTCCCGGAGTTCCCCAGGGGCCTGGCCGAGCAGCTGCTCGCCTTCTCCCTGGTGCTGCTGCTGAGATTCGCGGAGGAAGACCTGGCGCCAGAGGTCAAGGTAGCGTGGCGGGAGGGACACAGGCAGGTCACTGCCCTGCAGCTCTGAGAGACGTGGTTTATTTTAAAGGCCGTTCACTCCGTCGTCTTTTGCGTCACTTACCTGGCTTACTGTGCGCCTCCGACAGCACACGTACGTGAGCACTGGTTACATGTGTTGACTCTTACATTTACATTTCTACTATATCCTATTTTTTTGGAGAATCTCTCAAATTTCCCAAATGTTTGGGGTCTTCTTATTTCTTTCTGTGTTTGCTGCGTTGTGGACAAGAGTGGGTGTGCCTTTTTAATCTATCACTATCATCACTTCGTGGAACATCATTTTGTTGGCAATGTTGTGATTTCCGTCCCACACCCGTTCTGGGGAGAGCTCAGCTGTCACAGCTGAATGGGATGAGACAGAGGGAAGTCACGAGGAATCGGACTCCTATGGGCTCGACATTCCATAGGACACACTGGCAGCCTAACCAGAGGTGCTTCCCCCAGGAGAAGGCTGCAGTGAAGGCGCTGGTCAGGCTGGCGGAGGGCTACCGTGCCCGCTTCCACCCCGTCGCGCTGATTAAAAAACAGGTGAGCTGTGGACGACTGTTCGGGGGCAGGGCGTGCGCGCCTGCTTCGGAGGTTCAAGGCTCAGAGCTGCCTCGTCGGGCGGACTCTGAGGTCAGCAGGCCTGGCACTCCCACCACAGTGCGTCACTCAGAGGCTCGGCCTCACATGGTGGCTCAGGTGTGCCGTCTCTGTAGAATGTGTTGCATAGAAGTCACCACAGGCAGTGGTGTCTACCGTAGCCCCTTCATCTCCTTACTTTTCTTTATCCTCCCCAGCGGGGTGCAAACCCGCCCCCGAGGTAAGTGCCCTGCCTGGGAGTCAAACCCGTAACCTTTCGGTGTATGAGACGACCCACCTTCCAACTGAGCAGCCCAGCCAGGGCTCCTACACGTCTGCGGGTCAGGGCTGGGGGCTGGGGTCCCGTCTGGTATGAGAACTGGGTGCTGGCATTTGGCCAGGTCTTCACCCAGAGCGCGTAGCCCACAGCACCAGGGAGCAGCATGCCTGCCCCCCTCCCCCCCATACTCCCTCCCCCCAGCCTGGGAGGTCACCGCCCACAGGCTCCTGGGACTGTGCCCACTAAGTGAGTCCCACTCCGAGGGACTGGCCCTGTCCTGACCTCAGGCATCGGAATTTTGGACAGCTCCACAGCCTCGGACATTGCTCCCACGGACCTGTCCTGTCTCTGGCCTTTCTGTACCTCATTATAATGAATAACCGACACCCACCACCTGCCTTTCAAACATAATACCCGTAGCAGTTTTACACACAGGCTTCTAGAAAGTGACAGGCGCACCTGTAACCACTTAAAAACAAGGTTTCACAACGAGATTTCTTCTAGAACCTTACTGCAAAACCTTTAGAAGCTGGGCCTTTTCCTCCCAGGTGCTGAGCTGCGAGGAGAGCATCCGGTCGTGGCCTCTGCCGCCTTTGTCTGAGGACGCTGTGAGGGAGGCTGCCCGGTGAGCTCCATCCCGGAGGCGCAGGCCTCACAGCTGTCGGGAAGCAGCGGGCTGTGGGGCGGGAAATGCCTGGGAGGGACTGTGGCCTGGTGACGGGTGAGTAGCGGGTGGAGAGGAAGAAGGCTGATCGCCCAGCTCAGAGCTCAACTGGGGGTGGGTATTTGTGGAGACCTATAAACATTTCTCTCTTTTCCACAGCCAGTGCGGCTAGAGAGCGGTCTGGTTCCTGAGTAGGGGTGGCTGGGGATTGAGAAAATGAAGGAAAGAGACAGACACAGAGATAGAAGGAAAAAGCTAGGGCCAGGTGGGACCACTGTCCTCTGATGGAGAGACAGTGACCCAGAGCCAATACAGCACATTTATTTTATATTTATTTTATATAGCAAAATACCAGGGAGTTTTACTAAAGCCCAAGACAAAGGAGATTATGTGCATTCTTGTGGCTTGTTTTTGTTTTTTTCTTGTTTTTTTAATTAAATTATTATCTGTGTGCATATCTTACCATTGTCCCCCCATACATACTCTTCCCCCCCCCCCCCCAGAGTTTTGTGTCCATTGGTCATGCTTATATGCATGTATACAAATCCTTCAGTTGATCTATTATCTCCCCCAGATTCTTGTGGCTTTTTTGTAATGGTCACTTCTGGGTGGGCCTGGATAATCGTGTTTGTTCCTGGTGCTTGGCTGGATTTAGATAATGAAACCCAACTCCCTGAACCTGAGCTGAAGGTCAAGCTGACAACACACCTGCCTCTGGCAAGGTATGTTTCCAATATTTCCAGGGCATGGCTCTGCCAGGCACTGCTGGATTCAGATGACAATCAGCTCAGGGGCCTTTCCCAGGACCTCTCTACAGAGACTGAGAACGTGGACAATCAGAAAGGGGGTCTGACTCTTAGAAGTGGGAACAGAGAGATTTTGGATTATAGAGTAAGAGACAGATCACAGGAGTCAACAAAGCATATTGCTTTTAGCATATTGCACCATTGACTTTTTTTTTATCTTCCCCCAAGGATGGATATATGGATATATGGAGATATATATATATATATATATATATATATATATATATATATTTGATTTTAAAGAGAGGCATAGGGAGAAAGAAGAGAAACATTGATGTGAGAGAGAAATATCAATTGGTAGCTTCCCATATACACCAAGACCGGGAATCAAACCCAAAATCCTCCAATGCACAGGACAGTGCTCCAGCTGTTATTGGGAAACTCCGGTTGGGCTCTGGCTGCCAGTTGCTGTGTCCAATAACAAAGGCAGGGTTGAATCATTTAAGGCACTTATGGAGAAGGCCTGCCAACCAAGAAGACAGGATGCTTACAGGCATTCAAATCCTGTCTTCCAGCAGGTGCAGGGGACAGAACTATAAAGGGGAAAGGGTTGAGGGACAAACAACAGCTATTGTCATCAGGCAATGAGATGGTGTGGATGAGATGGTGTGGATGAGATGATATTGGTGAGATGGTGTGGGTGAGATGGTGTGGGTGAGATGTTGTGGGTGAGATGGTGGATGGGATTGTGTGGGTGAGATGGTGTGGGTGAGATGGTGCGGTGAGATGGTGTGGTGAGATGGTGTTTTGACTCCTGGTGAGTTGGCTATCCATGCTTATTGGTTCTGTTTACTGGTTTCACAGCTGAATTGCCTCCTCAATCATATATGAGAAACTTAGCTCCTTATTCACATAGTATATTTGTTCTAAGATTTGATATAATATGATTATTTTTTAAATTAATTCAGGTACTCTACCTATCTATATATATAAAAGCCTAATATGCAAACTGTCCCCTCAGGAATTTGGTAGACCAGGCGTTTGATGGCTCGCTATGACGTGTGCTGACCACCAGGGGGGTGGTGGTGCAGAATGAAGGAAGCCATGATCACCGGGGAGGCCTAGGCACCCTACCTGTGCAGGAATTTCATGCACCGGGCCTCTGGTCAGGCTATAAGTCCCCTGTCACTACCAACTGAGCCCCACCCCGCCAGGGCACCAGGACTTTTACCATGGCCTCCAGCTGCAGCCTTTTCATTTATAGCTGAGGAACCATTTTTAGATTAAGCACTTTCCTCAGTGAACCGAGCACATGAATGTGATTTTGCTCAGGTGCTAGCCGGGCATCTGAATTATGTCAGGTACGCGTAAATGCTTCCTGTTTTCCAGATTGGGTGGCAGTGCTGAAGCCAGTGCCTGTGAGCCGCTGGTCATGAAGATCATGTCTGAGCTGTGCCACCACGTGCCCGGGCACCACTGCCCTTTCCAGGGTGTGGAGAGCCTTCCTGTTGAGAGGTAAGTGTCCTCCTACTCTCGTCCGGACTTGACTGAGCAAGCTGTGCCGCAGACTGCTGTTTTCTGTTAAAGTTTATAAGCGAGGTGGTCGATCAGCCCCCACGGGGCTCCAGCAGGAGTCAGTAGCTGACTCGGTGCTCTCGACGTGGCTGGTCTGTGATGGCAGCCCCAGGGGAGCCTGCGTGGCTCGAACCCTGGTGTGTGTAACAGCTGTACTCGCAACCCAGAGCAGACGCCAGCTGGCTACCACGGGATTCAGTGCAGCAGGTGGCATCACCCGGGAGGTTGGTGATGGCTGTGCCCACAGAGCCGTGCCCACAGGGCCGTGCCCACAGGGCCGTGCCCACGGGGCCGTGCCCACGGAGCCGTGCCCACGGAGCCGTGCCCGCGGAGCCGTGCCCACGGAGCCGTGCCCACGGAGCCGTGCCCACGGAGCCGTGCCCACGGGGCTGTGCCTACGGGGCTGTGCCCACGGAGCCGTGCCCACGGGGCCGTGCCCACGGGGCCGTGCCCACGGAGCCGTGCCCACGGAGCCGTGCCCACGGAGCAGTGCCCACGGGGCCGTGCCCACAGAGCCGTGCCCACGGGGCCGTGCCCACAGAGCCGTGCCCACGGGGCCGTGCCCACGGGGCCGTGCCCACAGAGCCATGCCCACGGAGCCGTGCCCACAGAGCCGTGCCCACGGAGCCGTGCCCACAGAGCCGTGCCCACGGAGCCGTGCCCACAGAGCCGTGCCCACGGAGCCGTGCCCACGGAGCCGTGCCCACGGGGCTGTGCCCACGGAGCCGTGCCCACGGGGCCGTGCCCACGGGGCCGTGCCCACGGGGCCGTGCCCACGGAGCCGTGCCCACGGAGCCGTGCCCACGGAGCAGTGCCCACGGGGCCGTGCCCACAGAGCCGTGCCCACGGGGCCGTGCCCACAGAGCCGTGCCCACAGAGCCGTGCCCATGGGGCCGTGCCCACGGGGCTGTGCCCACAGAGCCGTGCCCACAGAGCCGTGCTCTGACCGCAGGTGGCCCCGGCCGCTCCCGTATGTCTGCAGCCTTCGTGTGCCGACCCTGTTCTGCCCCCGGGCCGTCCTGGAGGTGCTGACGGTGCTCCGGAGCATCAGCTCACGCTGCACCCAGGTGTCCCGGCAGGTGGCGGCCTCCCTGGAGCTCCGGGGCCGGCAGTGGGCGGAGAAGACGCTGCGCTCGCGGCAGAGGCAGAACTTCCTGCGCATGGTGAGCAGGTGAGCGCTGTGCGTGTGCGTGGTGAGCAGGTGAGTGTGTGCCGTGTACGTGGTGAGCAGGTGAGCGCTGTGCCGTGTGCGTGGTGAGCAGGTGAGTGTGTGCCGTGTGCGTGGTGAGCAGGTGAGCGGCTGTGAGTGTGCGTGGTGAGCAGGTGAGTGTGTGCCGTGTACGTGGTGAGCAGGTGAGTGTGTGCCGTGTGCATGGTGAGCAGGTGAGTGTGTGCCGTGTGCGTGGTGAGCAGGTAAGTGTGTGCCGTGTGCGTGGTGAGCAGGTGAGTGTGTGCCGTGTGCGTGGTGAGCAGGTGAGTGTGTGCCGTGTGCGTGGTGAGCAGGTGAGTGTGTGCTGTCTGCGTGGTGAGCAGGTGAGCGCTGTGCCATGTGCAGGTGTGTGCCGTGTGCGTGGTGAGCAGGTGAGTGTGTGCTGTGTGCGTGGTGAGCAGGTGAGCGCTGTGCCGTGTGCGTGGTGAGCAGGTGAGTGTGTGCCGTGTGCGTGGTGAGCAGGTGAGTGTGTGCCGTGTGCGTGGTGAGCAGGTGAGCGCTGTGCCGTGTGCAGGTGTGTGCCGTGTGCGTGGTGAGCAGGTGAGCGGCTGTGCGTGTGCGCGGTGAGCAGGTGAGTGTGTGCCGTGTGCAGGTGTGTGCCATGTGCGTGGTGAGCAGGTGAGCGCTGTGCCGTGTGCAGGTGTGTGCCATGTGCGTGGTGAGCAGGTGAGTGTGTGCCGTGTGCGTGGTGAGCAGGTGAGTGTGTGCCGTGTGCGTGGTGAGCAGGTGAGCAGCTGTGCATGTGCGCGGTGAGCAGGTGAGCGCTGTGCCGTGTGCAGGTGTGTGCCATGTGCGTGGTGAGCAGGTGAGCGCTGTGCGTGTGCGCGGTGAGCAGGTGAGTGTGTGCCGTGTGCGTGGTGAGCAGGTGAGTGCCTCTGCCTGGTTCGGAGGAGCCTGGGGCAGGAGTTGTCTCTGGAAGCAGTTCTAGTTCTTACTTTGGCAGAAATACTGATTTAGGGAAGTTATGGAACACGTTACTGTGGTGCAGCACGGGGAAGACCCCCGCCCGGGTGAGTGGATCGCACGCACAGCAGCGGTAACCTGGGAGCTGCGTTAGGGCTGCTTCCTGTGTCGCGTGTCCTGGCGTGTGCCGCCTCCTCAGGGAGAGATGCCAAGCACTGAGTCGAGGGGCGTCTGTAGGGCTTTCAGTGCCCACGCTTCCGAACTCTGGTTTACGCTCTGCCAGCCGCTCGCGATAGGAGGGCTGCTCACACATCCTCCGGAGCAGAGCCTCTCCTGCCAGTTTACGGGGAAGAGAGGATCTCACTTTAGGTGGGATTGCTCTGAGTTCCAGAGCCACGGACACCTTTTCACGCGTAAGCCTACGAGCTTTTCGCTGCCCGTCGGGCTGCGAGGAAGACGCTGACGGGTGCAGAGAAGGGCGCCCGGCGGGTCTGGGCAGGCCAGGCCCTCCAGGGCTCCCCTCCAGAGAGCTCCTCATCTGCAGGCTCAGAACTAGACGAGAGGGCGTGGGGAGGGAGGCCTGGTGGCAGATGACATGTTCCCCCCCCAAGGACTTCCGTGGCCCAGCCGTGGCCCAGGGCTCTGGCTGGGGGCAGCGTGGCATAGGGCTGGTCAGGTGAAACATCATTTTCTTTATGAAATTGGAGACTTTTTATTTTTATTTTTTTATTATTTATTTATTTTTTAAATCAATCTTTATTGTTCATATTATTACAAAGGTTCCTCATTTCTTCCCCCCTCCACCAGGTTCCCACCCCACCCTCCGCCCCCTCCCCAGCCCCCATTGTCCTCATCCATAGGTGCACAGTTTATGTTCAGTCTCTTCCTCCCTCCCTTCCCCGCCCCCCCCCCCCAGAACAGTCAGTCCCCTCCCCTCCCATATCACCGACTCTACTACAATGAACCACTATTATTGTTCATCAGGTTTTTCAATCTCCTTTTGTTGTTGTTGTTGTTGTTGTTTTTAATTAATAAACTTTTACACTTCTAAGAATAAATTTTAAAATCTAATAATTTTAAACCTTGTTTTTTTTCTGCCCTGGGAACTGAGAGCAAACTTGTTTACATGTAAACTTGCCCTTAGGCTATCAAAAGGTGTAGCCATTCAAGTGTAAATGGACACATCGTTTAAACATAGCTGCTGATTGGAATTGGATTACCTGTTCTGGGTGGGAAGGGCTTGTCATTCCCTTTTGGAGACATTTTATCGAACAGACTTTATCTGCTTTACTGTCCTCAGTGTTAAGCTGCTGTCCGCGGTGCTGTCCCTGGTTGTGCTGCTGGTGGCGCTGGAACTGGTCAGTGTTCACGGGGTCTGTGGAGAAGAGCCGTGCGGCCGCCAGCGATACCTCAGGTGGGTGTCCGCCCGGAGGAAGCCACTGTGGTGGGTTTGAGCCCACCCCTGCCTGGCATTTCTGTGCACGGGCCTCAGGGCGTCTGAGCCTCGCTGCTCCCTGCATGGGCACCTCCAGCGTCTGTGTGAGAGCCCGAGCCCCCACCGGGCACAGGGTGCCCCCTGCACGCCTGCGGGGGCACCTCCGCGGGGCTGGTCCTGTGTGGCCCCGGCCTCGGTCACGGCACGCACCAGACGTGATGTTTACAGCGAATGTTCTCAGCTCGGGACGCCCCCGTTAGGAGCCCAGACCTGGGCTCTGAGAGCAAGATCACACACATGACCACCTTACATACATCTGAACCCCCTTACATGTGTGTGAGCTGCATTACACACGTGTGACCCACCTTACACATGTGTGACCCACTTTATACATGTGTTACCTGCCTTACACGTGTGTGACCCGCCTTACATGCAGAGCTTCCAGCAGCAGGCACCCAGGAGAGGCGCGGGATCTGTCTTGTGTTTGCAGCGGCTGCTCCCCCAAACTTCCGAGTGTCCCCCACTTTAGGCTCCACAGGCAGCTCGGGGCTTGTTTAGAGGGAACGTGAGAACAGTCGGCACTTCACAGAGTGAGAGCCAGGGAAGGTGAGCGAGTGGCAGCCACCAGCTGCTGTTTGCAGTCTAGTCGGGTCTCAGCCTCCACTGACGTCCTGAGGGGGTGGTTCCCGGAGGCGTTCTGTGCCCGGGGGAGCATCCTGTGCCCAGTGGGGCTGGGTCCTGTGCCCGGTGGGGCTGGGTCCTGTGCCCGGTGGGGCTGGGTCCTGTGCCCGGTGGGGCTGGGTCCTGTGCCCGGTGGGGGCTGGGTCCTGTGCCCGGTGGGGCTGGGTCCTGTGCCTGCTGGGGGCTGGGTCCTGTGCCCGGTGGGGCTGGGTCCTGTGCCCGGTGGGGCTGGGTCCTGTGCCCGCTGGGGCTGGGTCCTGTGCCCGCTGGGGGCTGGGTCCTGTGCCCGGTGGGGCTGGGTCCTGTGCCCGCTGGGGGCTGGGTCCTGTGCCCGCTGGGGGCTGGGTCCTGTGCCCGGTGGGGCTGGGTCCTGTGCCCGCTGGGGGCTGGGTCCTGTGCCCGGTGGGGCTGGGTCCTGTGCCTGCTGGGGGCTGGGTCCTGTGCCCATTGGGACGTCCTGTGCCCGGTGGGGCTGGGTCCTGTGCCCGGTGGGGCTGGGTCCTGTGCCCATTGGGACGTCCTGTGCCCGGTGGGGCTGGGTCCTGTGCCCGCTGGGGGCTGGGTCCTGTGCCCGGTGGGGCTGGGTCCTGTGCCCGCTGGGGCTGGGTCCTGTGCCCATTGGGACGTCCTGTGCCCGGGAGCCCATCCACTTCCCAGGGACAGTGCCGTGGCAGCATTTCTCTCCGGAACCCGGGCTGTGTCCGTGTGTGGGCACCTCTTCCTGGAGTTTGCAGATAGAAAGTGAACTCAGCACTTAGCTGTAATTCCCACATAGAGAGAAAACCTCCACATCCCCGTCCCATTCTCAGGGCGGGGATAGATGTAGAGGTGAACTCTGTGCTCAGTGGGTGGGATAGATGAAGTGAATTCCTTACCAGGTTCCTGAAGTCGGTCCTGCAGTTCACCGAGAACCTGGCGGCCTGCACCAGCCCTGGCAGGAACCGGTGGGGCGAGGTGGCCCGGCTCACGCACACGGCGCTGCTGGGCATCTGGGCCTTCAGCGAGAGGAGGCAGCTGCTCATCCACGGAGCGGGGGCTCCCGGAGAGCCCGCCCCCACGGACACGGCAGCAGCTTCGTCACTCCAGGAGCCCCCGGGATGGACGTCACAGACTGCAAACGGGGGTCCAGGGGGGGCGGTTCCAGGGACACGCTTCCCATGGTGATGCCGTGTCCTCCGTTAGCACGCCATCGAGCCCGCGGTCCCCGTGGTGGTGCTGTTCGTATCCTCCTCCGTCAGCACGCCATCGAGCACGTGGTCCCCGTGGTGGTGCCGTGTCCTCCTCCGTCAGCACGCCATCGAGCACGCGGTCCCCGTGGTGGTGCCGTGTCCTCCTCCGTCAGCACGCCATCGAGCACGCGGTCCCCGTGGTGGTGCCATGTCCTCCTCCGTCAGCACGCCATTGAGCACGTGGTCCCCATGGTGGTGCCGTGTCCTCCTCCGTCAGCACGCCATCGAGCACGCGGTTCCCGTGGTGGTGCCATGTCCTCCTCCGTCAGCACGCCATCGAGCATGCGGTCCCCGTGGTGGTGCCGTGTCCTCCTCCGTCAGCACGCCATCGAGCACGCGGTCCCCGTCAGCCCTCGCCCGTCCTCCCAGCCTGCCCTCCGTGGGCCGGTGAGTCCCTGACGGCGTGGGCAGTACAAAGTGGCAGCATGTTGCTCCCCTGCACTCACTCGTCACCATCTCTGAGGACAGAGGCCTCCGGCTGCGTGAGCCTCAGAGAGCCCTCGGGGTGGCTCAGGCCTGACAGCTGGCTGCATGTCCCTGGGACTCCTCGGCGTGGCGAGTGGAGAGGCCCCCCCAGGTCCCCGCCCGGCGGCCACGGCCACGTCGCCCACGGGAGCCTCTCCTGGGGCTGCCACCCCCGAGGCCCTGCAGGGGTGAGAGCAGCCGGCCACGCGCCCCCCGGCGCCAGCACAGACGGACGGAGGACATGAGGAGGGCGGGCGGGCACCGTGCCGGCCGAGGCCCAGGATGGCAGTGGGGAGAGGGGCCAGCACAGACGGACGGAGGACATGAGGAGGGTGGGCGGGCGCCATGCCGGCCGAGGCCCAGGATGGCGGTGGGGAGAGGGGCCAGCACAGACGGACGGAGGACATGAGGAGGGTGGGCGGGCGCCATGCCGGCCGAGGCCCAGGATGGCGGTGGGAAGAGGGGCCAGCACAGACGAACGGAGGACACGAGGAGGGCGGGCGGGCGACGTGCCGGCCGAGGCCCAGGATGGCGGTGGGGAGAGGGGCCAGCCTAGACGAACGGAGGACACGAGGAGGGCGGGCCGGTGCCGTGCCGGCTGAGGCCCAGGATGGCGGTGGGGAGAGGGGCCAGCACAGACGGACGGAGGACATGAGGAGGGCGGGCCAGCACCGTGCCGGCCGAGGCCCAGGATGGCGGTGGGGAGAGGGGCCAGCACAGACGGACGGAGGACATGAGGAGGGCGGGCCGGTGCCGTGCTGGCCGAGGCCCAGGATGGCAGTGGGGAGAGGGGCCAGCACAGACAGACGGAGGACATGAGGAGGGCGGGCCGGCGCCGTGCCGGCTGAGGCCCAGGATGGCGGTGGGGAGAGGGGCCAGCACAGACGGACGGAGGACATGAGGAGGGCGGGCGGGCGTCGTGCCGGCCGAGGCCCAGGATGGCGGTGGGGAGAGGGGCCAGCCTGGGCGAACGGAGGACATGAGGAGGGCGGGCCGGCGCCGTGCCGGCCGAGGCCCAGGATGGCGGTGGGGAGAGGGGCCAGCCTGGGCGAACGGAGGACATGAGGAGGGCGGGCCGGCGCCGTGCCGGCCGAGGCCCAGGATGGCGGTGGGGAGGGGCACATGAGCGGGAGGGGCTCGTGGAGGGGGCGACGGACACAGCAGTGGACCCGCCGCCTCCCCCTGCCGTCCGGGCTGGTCCGCTCCTCCGGGCCTGTTGGGCGAGTTCTTCCCACAAGCACCGGGGCGACGGGGCCGCTTGCCGCCAGCACGGAGCCGGCAGGAGCCCGCCGGAAGGGAAACGCCGAGCCCGAGGAGGGACGGAGGGTAGGGGACAGGCCGGTGCTGGACAGACCCTCACTCAGACCGGACCCCTCCTGTGTGTGATCACCAGGGCCCTTGCCACCAGAGTTCTCTGGGAAAGGGTGGGGGAGGCGCAGGAGACAGCTGATCAATGTTTCTCTCTCATCGATGTTTCTAGCTCTCTATTCCTCTCTTCCTCTCTGTAAAATATCAGTGAAATATATATATTTTTGCCGAAGCCAGTTTGGCTTAGTGGTAGAGCGTCGGTCTGTGGACTGAAGGGTCCCAGGTTCGATTCCGGTCAAGGGCATGTACCTGGGTTGCGGGCACATCCCCAGTAAAGGGTGTGCAAGAGGCAGCTGGTCGATGTTTCTCTCTCATCGACGTTTCTAGCTATCTCCCTTTCTCTCTGTAAAAAAAATCAATAAAAAAAATATATGTATATACTTTAAATATATATATAATTTTTTTTTAAAGGTGCTGGGACCAGTGGCTGTCCTTCGGTATCACAGCTGAGGGAGCGGTGGTCCCGCCCAGGCAGTGCCCTGGGATTGCCTCGCGCCCCTCCGTGGGCACCCCGGGGTGTAGATGCAGCGAGGGTCGTGGGCTCTGCCTGAGGAGAACAGGCAACAGGCAACAAGCCTCGGAGGTGGTGCTGCCTCAGCCTGGAGCTGCTGCAGGAAAGCTGGGCCTCTGGGTGCAGCTCGCCTCTTCTGTGGGTGCTGCAGGGGCTTCGGGCGCGTTTCCCTGGCAGGCCACGGGGTGGCGCCCTGAGCAAGGCGTGGTGGCCGGGACTGAGCTCCGCCACCGTGGGCTCTGTCCTCCTCTGCTCAGGGACACGGGGCTTTGCCGGGGGAAGAGTGAGCGCCCATGGATTCGCTTTTTATTTTTGCAAGAGAACATTGATTCGGTAAAACAGACAGAAAAAGCAATTCCTGGAAGAAATGGGCCGAGGAAGACAAGTTATGGAGGCAAAGGAGGGCCCTTGGAGCTTGGGTGTGTGGAGGTGATGGTGGCAGGCTTAGCCATGGGGAGGGGAGGAGGGAGAGGGAGGAAGGGAAGGAGAGAAGGTGCTGAGCAGCCTCCGTGCACAGGAAGTGGCTGCAGAACACGACTAGGAGGCTGCTACCCGGGAGTAGAGGGGTCGGGTGAGGGTGCAGCTGCCATGGGGAGCCAGTGCCTCGTCCCAGTTCCTGTCCTTCCTCTAGGAGCTGCACTCACAGATCACCAAGGGCTTCACCTCGCACAGACACGCACACATGGACACCCCCACAGACCCGAGGGGCTGGGCCGTCAGCCCATCTGCCTGCGGTGTTTATCTTCGGGACAAACCGGGAGGTGTGAGCAGCCGACACCACAGGCCGAGGTGCAGCGTCCCGCAGGCGGACAAATGGCGGCCGTGCTGCTTCCTTAGGGGGCAGCATCCAGATGGCGGGGGGCCGCTCAGCCTCGTCCCGGATCCTGGCTGCCCCTCCCCTTGCCATCTCCCCCCCCAGGCCTTCTTTCTGCCCTGCCTGTCCCTTCCCGGGACTCAGAGGCCCCCTGAGCCAGGCTCGTTTGGGGGCCCCCATCAGCACCCCTGTCTCCCCCTGAAGGGCGAGGGGCACAGACCCTGCGGCATAGGCACTGCCCTGGTTCCACTCCTGCAGGGCATGGCTGCTGCTCCGGCCTCCTCTGGCCGGTGGTCCCTGCCTCCCTCCTCCCACCCTCCCTCCTGAGGCGGATCCCTAAGACGTTCCCGCTGTCGCCCAGACGCTGCGGTTCGGCAGGTGGGCCCCGGCGTCCAGCACCCGAGGCCATGCGGGCTCCGCTCCTGCCCACGCTGGCCCTCAGCTCCCCGCCCGCCCAGCTGCTCCAGACGTGCGGAGGGTACAGGTCCCCGTGGCCCAGCTGGATGCGGGGACAGGAACACCATGGTGCCCTCTCTGCGTTCTGGGCGTGTCTCACAGGCAGAGACCAGGACAGAGCGACCCTCCAGTCTGAGGCCTGGCGTGGAAACAGCCTGGGTGCGGGGCCCAGCGGGTCGCTGAGCAGCAGGGTGCTCCCGCACCCACGTCGCCTCAGGCACGTCATGGCACTCCCTCAGGACATCCACACCCCACCCCACCCCACCCCGAGAGGTGGGCCTCACCCCAGAGGTCGGAGGTCGGGAGCTAGAGCCAGTCGGGTGGGACTTCTGCGGAGACTTGATTCCTGAGACTCCGCTCACGTGGCTGTGTGGCTGGCCGGTTGGGGCTGCAGATGTCATGCCTGGCCTGGGGGGCTTGGCCGGCCCTGCAGGGTGTGAGCAGCGGTCTTTCGGGGACTAACGGGATCCCAGGCCGCTGTGTCAGGATGCTCTGGTCACTGCGGGTGGTCACAGGCTGCTCCGCAGAGGCCTGGCAGCTGCTGTCCTGGGCTGACAGGCGGAGGCGGACAGCAGGGGGAGCCCGTGGCCCCGCCAGCAGAAACCTAGGCTGCAGATGGGATGGACACTGGGCTCCAGGAAGCAGCTGGTCAGTGGTCTCTGAGTCTGTGACCAGTCAGGGAGAGAGAAAGCGGAATCACGTCGATGACGTACACCTTGTGGTGCTTGAGAAGCCTGTGCCTGTGACAACACCGATCGCAAACACAAAACACATGCTTTCCTATTGACTGAAACCGGCCTAAGGCCGTGGTCGGCAAACTCATTAGTCAACAGAGCCAAATACTAACAGCACAACGATTGGAATTTCTTTGGAGAGCCAATTTTTTAAAACTTTTTCTAACGCCACTTCTTCAACACAGACTCGCCCAGGCCGTGGTGTTTTGTGGAAGAGCCTCACTCAAAGGGCCAGAGAGCCGCCTGTGGCTCGCGAGCCGCCGTTTGCTGGCCACAGGGCGTCAGTGGCATGTGCTCAGGTGGAAGTTATTTTCTTGTTGCTCTCTCGGCGCTCTCCCAGTGGAGGTGGGAGCTGTGGTTCGCTGAGTGCCCTGGGCTTCCTAGGGTTTATGTGAACAAACCTCAGTGCATACACGCACTTTCACTCCCCATTTCTTACTCAGAGAGGAGTATCTTAGTGTCCTGCGCCCCACCAGCTCTTGCTCACGGGAATATGTCAGGGAATCTCACACATGGAGACTTTCCTTTTCTGAAGGTGTGCAGTGCTGCATTGTGAGTGTGTGCTCTTTGATGGACAGCCTGGAAGCCCACCATGGGAGTCTTCTGTTACAACAAATCGTGCTGCACGAAAGCCGGCACAGATGCCCTCTCGCCTGTCCCAGGAGTGGAACTGCTCCACAGGCCTGTGCCTCTGTGGTGTGTAGCTGCTTCCAGGTGATTCTCCACACAGGCTGTGGGCATGTTCACTGACGCAGGACATGCCTCTGGCTCATTCACTATCAGAACGTTTCGACTCTCGCCACCCAGGCAGGGTTTCTGTTGCCAATAAGGCCGAGATCTCTGTACTTTCTCTTCACTGGACTCTGATGCTGTTTGCCCACTTACCGACTGGGTTGCTGATCTTCGTCTTTTTACTGAATTCTGGGAGCTCTTTACATATGAAAGGGATAGGTTGTGGTAGAAGGTGAAATGCTTATTTCCTCGTTGTCTATCTTGGTTTATAAATGTGCAGAGGGCAGGTTTTTTTTGTGTGTGTGCAGACATTTTATTGTTATGTAGTTTATCCTTTTACTACTTTTGGATTTTTTGTTTTAATTAGAAGAGTCTACCCTTGACGACAAAGTTGTAAAGGGATTTGCTCATGATTTCTGTTTGTGCTTTTATGGTTTTATTTTTAACATTTAAGTAATTGACTTGTTTATCTTGATGTACAGTGTGACATATGGTGTAACTTTTTTATTTGTTTTGCTGGATAGCGACTCAGTTGTCCTAATGCCATTGATCACAGTCATTTTTTACTGCTTATGTAGGATGTCAATTCTATTACATACTAATTTACTAATTCCC